ATCGACACAAGTTTACACACATACAAATAAATAAAATAAAAATCAATCTTAAATTATAGATATCAACAATAAAAACAAAAACCATGGGTAATAACACATGTTCTTCAGATCTGTCATTATGAACAACCTGAGAAACACTTCAGGTTCAGCAGAAACTCTCCTGAAGCCACATGTTTCCAATCAAACAGAAGGTTCTACAGGACAGTTTAGGTGAATGATTTAAAAGCAGTCACATCAGTTACATGATGATCCATATGCATCATCCTGTGAATGCAGTCGTTTATTTACAAAGTTTTGTCACTGCCAATCATTTAGACAGGGAAGCAGGACAAACTCTAGTTTGCTTTAGTTAGTAAGCAATAAACCATTCCACTATAGTGTTGCGGTCTGTGTACAAAAAAGGTTGCGATTCAGGGACTGTCTAAGATAGCTAATGAAAATGTAATCAGAAGAGCAGCGTTAATGGCATTTTAAGACTGCTGAACATAATTTGGTAAAGCAAATTGCTGACCTTGCTTTCTTTATCCTGATTCACAGCTTGCTGTTAGGCTAGATTTCTTCAGAATTTGGGTTACAAATTTGGGTTACAAAACAGAAAACAGGAAACTAACTTTTCAGTATCATCATATCCATCTGTGTATAATTTACTTTATGGTAAACAATGGTGAACTATGGCCGATAAACGGTTTCATATTCCTTAGGGTGGGGGAGAGTCAGGTGTCTTCATTGCTGTTCTATTGTTGCAAAGACACACCATGACCAAGACAATTTATAAAAGAAGGCATTTAATCGGGCCTTGCTTATAGTTTCAGAGGATGAGTTTATAATCATCATGGCAGAGAGCATGACAGCAGGCAGGCATGGTGCTGGAGCAGGAGCTGAGAGCTTACCTCTGAACCACAAGTAGCAGGCAGAGAGGATGAGACTAGGACTGGTATGGGCTTTTGAAGCCTCAAAGCCCACCAACCCCAGTGACACACCTCCTGCAAGACCATAGCTTCCAATCCTCCTTCAGCAGTTCACCAACTGACGAATGGGCATTCAAAAATATAAGCCTATCAGGTCCAGTCTCATTCAAATCACCATAACAGGCATGATGACACACAATTATAATCCTAGCACTTACTAGGCCCAGCCTGGCTATCTCACAGTAGTTTCGGGGGGAGGGTTGTTTGTTTGTTTGTGATATGCTTTGTGTATCTCTGTCTAGCCTCAAACTGCCTATGCAGTTGAGAATGATCCTCAAATTCTGATCTTCCTGCCTCTTTTTTTCAGAGTGCTGGGGTATAAGCATACACTACCACACCCAGTTTTATGCAGTGCCAAGGATGAAATCCAGAGCTTCACTAATGCTAAGCAAGTCCCCTACCAACTTAACTACAGCCTCAGCAATGAACTGGTGCTGTACACTGGAGTATGTTGAGGTGTGTGAGATACAATGTCTATGATTAACTATGTCAGCATTAAAAATAAATTTAAAACTTTTTTCAGAAGGCTAACCTGAGTAGAGTGTAGAAGGAATCTCTTGTGTCTGTATGGAAGCATCACCTGTCAATAAAAAGCTGATGGCCTATAGCTGAGGCAGGAAATAGGAGGTGGGACATCCAGCAAGTAGAAAGGATTCTAGGAAGACATGAAGAAGATAGACACATGGTACCTAAGCCGAGGTAGCCACGTGGCAAAATGTAGATTAGTATAAATGGGTTATGAGCTAGACAGAAGAGCCTAGCTATATGGCTTAGGTATTTGAAAATATCTTTTGAATCTCATAAATCTTTATTCCAGGAGCTTAGGGCCAGGAGGAAGAACCTGCAACAGCAGGGTGATGACCTACACCTTTAATCCCAGGCCTTCAAAGAAGTTCACCTGCCTCTGCCTCTCAAGTGCCACCAGGCCCTGGCCTCTTTTTTCATTTACCTGATTTTAGTGCTTTCTCCATTGTTCTGACTGAGGAGCTTCTAATGCTGTCTTTAGGCTCGCTGGTTCTTGCCTTTGTCCTGCCAATGTTGCTAATCTATCCACTAGAATTTCTGTCTCCATTACTGTATTTTTCAATTTTATAATTTCCATCTGATATTCTTTTTAGATTTATTTATTTTTATCACATGTGTATGAATGTTTTGCCTGCATTCATGTCTGTGTACCACATGCATGTAATGCTCACAGAGACCACAAGGGTATCATATACTCTTGAACTGAAGTCCCAGAGTAGCTGTTAGCAGGAGAAAATGCTAACTGCTCAGCCCTCTTTCCAGCCCCTCCACTTAATATTCTTTTATTGTTATTACTACATTTATTTGCTTGGGCAAGAGTGTGTACTTGCCAAGGCACAAAATGAAGGTCAGAAGACTGTTAGGAGTCGGTTCTTTCTTCAACCCATGTGAGTCCTGGGGACTGACTGGGTCTTCAGGCCTGTGGCCAAGTGCATTAACCCAGCCTCTGATATTCTGTATGTCTTCTACTTTTTTGGTGAGATTCTCTATTTTTTTATTTGTTTTGTATATGTGCAGCTTGTTCACTGTAGTATTTTAAGATGGCTGCCTTTAAAGTCCTTGTCAGATAATTCTAATGTGATTCCCCATTCAAATTGAAACTGTATTAGCTCTTGGCTGGGCAAACTTTGCATAACACTCTAGATCTTCTGTTATATCAGGCCTTCTCTGACACCTCTCCAGTGGGATGCAGAAGGTCTACCTCCTACTGCCATTAGCTGAGGACACAAGTTCACATTCCTTACATGGTAACTACTGGCACTGTATGGATGGAAGCTTTATTTCTGCCTGGTGAACCCTGAAAGTCCTATCTCCTTATACGGTGTCTCTGATACTAACCCTCATAGTTGGGGCATCTCACTATATCCTGAAAAGATGGACATGCAGCCTCTCTGCTTAGACTTTACTGGCATAGTGAGGCCAGGGCTAGATTTCTGCAGTATCTGGCTAGCATAGGGACATGACTATTAAAAATTTTGTCTTTCTAAATCCTTGGACTAAAGGGAAAGCACAAGCTTTTCTGAAAGATCTTGCTTTTTAATTTTTTTTTTTTTTTACTCTTATGAGATGCTAGATATAACCACAATATTTGTATGTGCAAGGCAAGAGCATTACCACTGGGCTACATCCTAAGTCTTTTCCTTAGAGCCTTTTTTCTTTCCTTGTACCTAACCGTATTTCCAAATTGCAAACGTCCTCATCAGGAAGTTTAAAATACATAGGCAAAAAAAACCCCTCAGGACTCCCTGCCTTGTCATTCACTGTGCTCAGGACAACATAGCCATGTTGGCTTTTCCACTACCATTAAGTGTTTCTTGCACACAGTAGTCAAGGTTTTTTTGTTTTGTTTTGTTTTGTTTTTTAATTTCTGAGGCTAGCAAGATAACGCAGAGGGAAAAAGCGCTTTCCTGCAAAGTCGGATGACCTGGGTGTGATTCTGACCTACAGAATGGAAGCAGAGAATGGCACTGCATGTCCTTCTCTGACTACACAAGCACTATGGCACATGAGTTCACACACACTTAATACATAAATGTAAAAAAGATATTTAAACTTTTTCTGTATGATTTAAAAGATTCCTCTTCCAACATTCCTTTTCCAAAGCAGTATCACTGTATTGATTTATGTGTATCCTTCCACATTTGTCTTCAATTCTGAAATTATTTTTAGAATTGTTCACTTTGATCATCTCATTTCTGAGTTTTTCTAGCAGAGTGGTTCATGCTATATATGACTTTCTTGTCATTTCACTTGTTTCAGAATATTAGAGCTTTCGTCAATATTAGAACTTTTCGTTATTTCAGTGTCCTAAATTACTTTGTGTGTTTTAATGACTATACCTGAGGTAACTAAAAAACTATGTGGTGGCTTGAGAATGGCCCCAATAGGTTCATATATTTGAACTCTTGGTGCCTACTTAGTGGACCTGTTTTGGGAAGGATTAGGAGGTGTGACTTTGTTGGAGGAGGTGTGTCACTGGAGTGTGCTTTGAGGCTTCAAAAGCTCATGCAAGGCCCAGACTCTCTCTCTGTCTCCTTTTCTCCCTTCCCTCCCTCGCACTTGCTTGTGATCAGACGTTAAGTTCTCAGCTACTGCTCCAGTGCTATGCCTGTCTGCTGCAATGTTCCCTGCCATGATGTTCACAGACTTATTCTCTGAAACTGTAAGCAAACCCCTAGTTAAATGTTTTCTGTTATAAACTGACTTGATCATGCCTTGTCTCCCCAAGGCAATAGAACAGTTACAAAGACACTATACCAAACTACCACAGTTCAACTCATTTTAGGATGAATGCTAGTGCTTTCTAACCACTAATAGGAAATGTATAGGAAAAATCAAGGCCATAAAACTGCCATGGCTAAGTAGTTCTAACTCTCTTCTTCAAGTTTATTCATTATGACAATGAATTCTATTTTTTAGTGACTTTTTTTTTATGTACACTGGTATTTTGCCTGCACATACGTCTGTGTGAGAGTGTCAGACCCCTTGGACCCGGAGTTACAGACAGTCATGAGCTGCCTTGTGAGTGCTGGGAATTGAACCTAAGTCTCTGGAAGAGCAGCAGTGCTCTCAATGCTGAGCTGTCTCTCCAGTCCAGGAGCTCTCAATTTTAAAACATCAACATATGCCAAGAAAGTTTAGAAGACTACTACCAAAGTTTAAACAAAAAGTTTTCCTCAGTAATTACCTATGATTTCTTGTTTTTGCACTACAGTTTTCAGGGTGGAAACCTAAGGTTTTTTGCAGAAGTGTTTAACATCAGTTAAGAGCTGGTAATGGCTCAGAAGGCAAGGCATTGCAAGCCTGGTAACCTGAACCAAATACCCAAAAATGCAACTCTACAAAGTTGAACTTTGATCTCCACTTGCACACTATAGTACACACACTCCCTCCATGCAT